AGCAACTGCAGTGGTGGTGGTTGCAGTAGCTGCCCTCTTGGCTTCAATGTCAACAGCAGCAGCCTGCACAACTGCAGTGTCTGTAGCAGCAGCAGGGTTACCTCCTAGAAGTGGCAGCAGTGTTGGTGGGTGCAACTGTGTCCCTCGTGTCTGTGATGTCTGCAGTAGAAGCTGGGTTACCTTGTGGGGGCAGCAGTAGCACTGGTGGCTACAACTGCCAACCTCACTACTGCAGTGTCCTTGATGGCAGCAGCGTTAAGTCTTGGTGATGGCACTAGCAGAAATGGTTGCAGTTGCCTCGCATCTGTGGAGTCCACAGCTGCAGTGATATGTGACCCAAAATATGTAAACGATGTTTCTAGTTTGTCATTTCTTTTAGCCAATAGTAGGTATGTGAATGAGTTACAAAGTCTTGATTAACATGAGGTTTGTAGATTGGTCTTTCTGAACCTAGCTCCAATTAGTAACTTTTCAAATTAGAGTTGTACCTTTTTGTCAAATGACTTGATGGTTTTTAATAATTTTCTAAAGTGAATATAATAAGTATAACATTATTATGAATATAACAGTTTAAAATATATATATTTTTTGAAGTTTTAAAATCAAAGTGTTTGGTAGTTTCATGCATCTATAATATGGATTTTCTAAGTTGTATTTTCAGAAAGAGAATATATAATATGAACAAAGAAAGACAACTCATAGCCATATTATAAATTACTTGGGGAAAGGACAGTGAGATTGGAAAGAACACTGAATTAGAGAAGTTGGGAAAGGAGGTGCCGCCAACTCCATATATGATAATATACATGTAGTCCTTCACAACAACTTGATGAGATAGGTATTATTACCTCCATTTTGCAAGTGAGGAAAGTGAGACTCAGAGAGATGAATGCATAACTTGCTTAAGGTCAACTAATATGGAATTCCGCAGGCCACACTCTTAACTGCTAGTCAGTAAACCATATGAAAGCTATAGGATAATGTTTACCCATTACAAAAAAGACTTCTGGACATGCTTTGGTCTGCAGATACCAAAATTAATTGTGTGTGTGTGTGTGTGTGTGTGTTTGTAAAGAACCAGCCAAATGTTGACTCTATAGGTCATAATATTGCCTTCTACAAAAGCCACATCCAAATAGAACTGTTTTTTTCCTTTCCTTTTCATTTTCATGTAAATACTTCTCTTTGAAAGCTTATGTATATTATATAATCAGTCTCTTATTTGAGACTCTGTCAGGGGCTGTTGTAGGTCACAGGGATATAAAGGTGAATCAGACTTTAGCCTTGTCCTACCAGCGATAGTCTACTCTGGTGAGACAGACATGTAGGCAAATTATTGGAATATACTGATCTAAATGTTGAGAGAAGGATACTGAGTGCTGAGAGAGCAAAGTGGCAACTACAGAGGGAAGGGAATTGAAAAATTACAAAGGAGATGACATTGGAGCAAAAGAACAGTCATGTGAAACAGCATAGTGCATTCTGGGAATCACATTTGTGCAGTGTGGCTAAATTATAGATAATTAGTAAGGTGTGTTAGAACATACGACTGCAAAGGTAGTTAGGTATCACATCCTAAGGGGCTGTGTGTGTTAGACTTGGGACTTAAAAGTTTGGATTTTATTTTTTAGGTAGTAAACGGAGCTATTGGAGAATTTTAAAAAGGAAAATGAAATAATGGGTTGGAGTTTGATAGGAGACAGGTAGCAGTTAGAAGACTATTACCTCTCGCCATATACCAAAATCATCTCAAAGTGGACTAAAGACTTAAATATAAGACCTGAAACTGGGGCTGGCCCGGTGGCGCACTCGGTAGAGTGCGGCGCTTGGGAGCGCGGTGGCGCTCCCGCTGAGGGTTCGGATCCCATATAGAGACCGGTCTGCTCACTGGTTGAGCGCGGTGCGGGTGCGACACCGAGGGTTGCGATCCCGTTGCCGGTCGCGGTACGGGCGCGACACCACGGGTTGCGATCCTGTTACCGGTCACAAAAAAAGACAAAAAAGGAAAAAAAAAAAAAAGACCTGAAACTGTAAAACTCCTAGAAGAAAACGTAGGTGAAATATTTCAGGAAAGAGGACTGTGCAAAGACTTTATGAGTAAGACCTGAGAGCACAGGCAACAAAAGAAAAAAAATAAACAAATGAGATTAAGTCAAACTAAAAAGCTTCCGCACAGCAAGGGAAACAATCAGTGGAGTGCAAAGACCACCTGTGGAATGGGAGAAAATACTTGCAAACTATACATACAACAAAGGATTAATATCCAGAATATACAAGGAACTCAAACAACAGTAAAAAAAACAAATAATCTGATTTTAAAAATGTGCAAAGGAGCTGAATAGACATTTCTCAAAGTGAGATATATTGATGGCCAACAGACACATGAAAAAATGCTCAACATCACTTAGCATCAGGGAAATGCAAATCAAAACCACACTGAGATATCACCTCACCCCAGTTAGACTGACCATTATCAAAAAGACAGATAATAACAAATGCTGGTGAGGATGTGGAAAAGGGAGAACCCTCCTGTACTGTTGGTGGGACTGTAAATTAGTACAGCCATTGTGGAAAACAGTATGGAGGTTCCTCAGACAACTACAGATAGAACTGCCCTATGATCCAGCAATCCCACTGCTGGGTATATACTCAAAGGAATAGAAATCATCATGTTGAAGGGACACCTGCATTCCCACGTTTATCACAGCTCTATTTACAATAGCCAAGAGTTGGAACCAACCTAAATGTACATCAACGGATGACTGGATAAGGAAAATGTGGTATATATACACAGTGGAATAGTACTCTGCCATAAAAAAGGATGAAATTCTGCCATTCTCAGCTTGGATGAGCTTGGAGAAAATTATGTTAAGTGAAATAAGCCAGGCACAGAAAGAGAAACACCACATATCCTCACTCATAAGTGGGAGCTAAAAAAAAAAAAAAATTAAGACAGAAAGAAAGAAACAACCACCACAGTAATAATTTGAACTTTCAGAAGGAGAAAATATAACTATGGTTACTAGAGGTGGGAAAGGGGGAGTGAGAGGGGGGTTAAGGAGACATTAGGTAATGGACACAAAGAATAATTACGTTTTGTAATGAGGAATATGCAGATAGTCCTGATTTGATCATCACTTAATGCACACAAATACTGATATTCAACTCTGTACCCCACAAAAATGTATAATCAATTATGTTTCAATAAAAAAGAAAACTATGATAATCTGGGAAGAGATGGATGATGTGGGTCTAAACTGGGTCATGAATTTTGGATAACATTTGAAAGATACTATAGAAAAAATTATTTAACCAAAAGTGCCTTATATTTATAATGCTTGCAGTTTCCAAAATACTTTGAAAATGCATTTTCTTATTTGATATTACCAATAACTCAAAAAAGTAGATAGTTTAGATAGATTTATTTCCATTTTGAATGAAGACATTGGCTAAGTTTCAATCTTACAAGATCTCAGGGAATCATAGCTAGTGAGTGATAGCTTAAGCATGAACCAAAGGTCAGTACAGTGTCCTACAGGCCCATGTGAATACTAGTAGGAGTTGTTCAATTAAGACATGACATCTGTCAAAATGCTTTGGGAGATGTGAGAGTGGTTATGGCATATATATTCCTGCTTTATTGGAGGGTCTATTACATGCGACTTTTGAAAATACTGGCAGGCTGGTATCAGAGTATGTTTACTGTAATCAGTGTTAAAGATCAATATATCAAGAATGCTTACTATGTACCATTAAATTGATTTTTTACTGATTAGGTATTATGGATTATGTTACTGTAACATCTTCCCCTTTTTACCCATAAACTCTAAAAGGTTCAGTGCCAGAAAGAACAGAACTGTATCTTTATTTTCTCATCACATCCTCTCTTAAATAGATAATAAGAGTATTTTCATTGCTCTTTTTCAAACTTGGCTTTGAGTAACTGCTGTGATTCTAGCTGTTGAACAGTCTTTCAAGTTAAGTGATTAGTATTCTGGTCAAGTAAAAATTGTTGTGAGGCTGCCATTCTTACCGAGTATAGCAAAGGTGTTTTTACTAAATTCATTATTAGGGTCATGTTGTCAGAGACATATGACAGTTAAATTTTACAAAACTTGCTTAAATATTGATACTTGAGACTTACAGGAAATTAAATCTAAAACCTTATACTTCTGAGGTTGGAGGAACTGATAAGCTGTCAAGTTCAATAAAGCCATGTTTGTGCTGCTTAATATTTTAAAAGAAAAATTAAACTGTCTTAGTTCTTCTTTAGAATTTCTGTCTTACTTAATTAAATTTTGCTGTTGTGTTAACTAATAAATTGAAAGAAATGTTCTAATTAGTTTTTGTCATAACTGGAAACTGTAGTAGATTAGAGTACTTTGGAAAGTGTGATAGTCTTTTGGGTAACACCTGCTTACTAGGAGATATTAATTCTTTGCCTGATTCTCTTCCAGTCTTGCTAAATTGTGTCTAAGGATATATGTGCACCTCTTACTATACGGTACTTCAGTTTCTCTCTAAATTAAAAAAAAAAAAAAAAAGAGAGCGGTCTTACCTGTGTGTACTACCTAAGTAAAGATTTTTGAAAGATAAAGGGAAATCATTAAAGTGTTTTTCATCAATTTATTCTCTTTACTAGTTGAAATTTCTAAGTATTTAAAAATCATTGTTATTAAAAAATGCTATTTTAAAATAGTAATTTACTATTTAAAAACCATTGGCTCTTTTAGTGTATTTCATTGCTTAGTCTTAGAATCTTTATTTTTAGAATGTAGCATATTTAAAGATCGCTTTTACTGTTGAATTTGACAGGCATGGCAAAAGGCCAATTTAATGAGTCCAAAGGGAAAATTTGCAGAGTATGCAGGTTAATGGATCCCTAGAACTGACTTTCAGTGAAGTCCAGGCTATCCATATTCATTCCTGCTGAGTGAAGATTTGCTTAAAGTTGACTTTTCTTCCTTCTGTACCATCTGATTCTAATCTGCCTTTTATAGCTAGAGACGGTCGGATGGCAGCTGAACCTTCAAATGGCTCACTCTGGTCAAGCTAAACTAAAATCTCCTCAAGCTGTGTTACAACTAGGAATGAGCAATGAAGATTCAAAGGTAAGAAATGGTATTTCATTGAAATGATGTGTTTTGTTTTAAATCTTATATTTTTTTGTTCACAGGGTCTTTGCTTGCTGGATTTAAAATTTAAACATAATTCAGTTAAAATTAAACAAGGATTATAAATTGATAGGTCTTTATTTGTGACAATTTTTTTTTCTTTTTTTCTCTTTCTTTTGTGACTGGCTGGTAGGAGGATCCAAAAACTTGATCTTGGTGTTACCAGCATCCCACTCTATCGAGTGAGCTAACTAGCCAGCCTATTTGTGACAGTCTTTGATGTCAGATTCAAGTATCACTTTATTTATCTGAAGAAATAGCTTATCTTGCAAGGTACTTTTCATACAAGAACATTTCATAATGTCCTCTTCTAAATTCTGCAATAAAAAAATTGGTGAATACCGTATAAAATTTTAATTTTAATGTTTTAGATATTTGTGGATATTCCTGGATGCTTTGTGTGTTAAGTTGCATACAAATAGTAGAGGGAATATTATTTGTTGTCTGTCCAATGCCTGGAATATCATCATGACCTGAATTGTTTTTGTGTGTATGTGCATGTGTTTAAATTCCAGCTCTTACAAAATAAAATTTTGAATTAATTTTATATCACATTGTAGAGGATTGTTAAAGCAAATGTACTTCACAGGGCCGGTTTTCCAAAGCCTTGCAGTTTCAAATATTGACCTTGCAGAGGACTGGAAATTTTCCTCAGGCTATAAAGTCTCTGATGTAAGATAAAGATTTGTGGCACAGTAACGTTGCTGGCTCAAGGACAGACTAGTTACTGATTGTTATGTGAAGATGTGAAGATGTGAGAAATTGCTGTAAGAAGGGAATGTTTGCTAGATCAAGCTTTTGTTGGTGGATCACTTAATTATCTAATGGAATGTCATCTGACTTGTTTCACTGAAAGTTACCAGCCTATATTGTTAAACTATAGCCCCACATATGTTCTCTTCCTGTAACTTCCTGGTCTGGAAAATAAATGCAGGAAGAGAACCCCAGTTTGGGGTTAATTTCCCAAGGAAGGGATGCCTCTTGTTTGACGGTTCCGAGGGAGATTAACCACTTCTGGGTCTCTCACTGCTCAGAAGAGATGGGCTTTGAGTAATCCTTTGCAGCTCTGTCACCCAGGGGAAGTAGGGGTGACAAATCCGTGGGGGGCAAAGCAACACCACATAGTGATTTCTCCTTTAGTATTAATTTCAGAACAACTTGAATGTGGTTATCAAAGAGTTGCTATAGAATGGGTTTTTTTACTCTGTCACATAGAGAAATATATATATTTCAGATTATAATGGGAGGTAGTTATATTTTATGTTATAAATGATTATCTTTTTAAGATAGAAAAGGGGGAATGATTTCCCCTCCTAAATAGATAAGACTTTTTCTCATTTTAAGATAAATAAAATAGAGTTGAGAATGAAGTGCTATGGAAGATCTGAGGAGGAAGAGATTACAGTGGATGAATATGATCAGAGAATAATGTCAGAGATGTTATTATTTATAATGGTCATTGAAAGATGGGGGTATTATTACTTTTTTGTTAGTACTTTTACTATTATTTATTATATCATGCACATTTCTGTCTTTAAGAACTGAAACCAATGCCTAGCCCAGGTTATATGACTACAAAATTCTCTGTAATCGACTTGGATCTTATACATGACTTATTAGTTTATTATAGTGTTTCAAGTGTATTACTTCATTTCACACATTTTCACTGGAAAATACTAGAAACTTAGTAGTTAAGAGTCAGTCGACTGGATATATTATATATGCTCTGCAATTTAATAATGGTGTAACTTTGGGCAAGTTACTTAATCTTCGAGTCATTTTTTTCCTTTGTAAAATGGAGATAATAGTATTTATTTATTTCACAGGTTTTTACAGAAGATTAAATACTCAGTGTATGTAAAGTGCTAAGTCCTAGTATTACGGTAAATGTTCAATAAGTTCTGGCTGTAACCATCATCAATAAAACTTTTTTGGGGCTAAAATAAATAAATTCATTTGTTTTAAGCCAAAGTTCTCACTAAATTTATGAGGGTACTTAAAAAAGTTCATGGAAAGATTAGTATTATCTTTTAATTCTATTTTTCCACAAACTTTTTGAAATACCTTCACATTTCCTGATGGAATTTTTATTTTCTCTTGCATTCTCCTTTCCCCTTTTTTTGGTGGCTGGCCAGTATGAGGATCTGAACTGGTTACTTTAGTATTACAAGGCTGTGCTCTAACCAGCTGAGCCAACCGGCCAGCCCTCCTTTTTTTATTCATTATATTTTTCATATATATGTTTACTGGGAATTAGGGAGGGGAAACACAACCTGGAAAGTCCCTTTTTTCTCCCATAAACTGGGGAAGGTGTTTCTTTTGGTTTTAGGATAATGATCTGGAACTCACTGGTGTAGAATGGGACTAGTCCATGAATGAAAATGCATACTGTATACTCCAAGTAGCTACATACCTTCTCTGTTTTATTTCTCATAACTACTATGGTGTTCAGTCTGAATAGCTAAAGACAGTTATAGGTTGGAAGGATACTATTTTGACCATATATTGGATATGCTTTAAGCATCATGAGTTCGGCAGTACTTGACTTTGGGATTCTCAAATCCTCCAAATTCCTTTATTACAGCTTCAAAATATGCCTGTGTCTGTTATATTTTTAGGCAGTTGGAATGGATGAATAATGCTTTTAGTAAAACAGCCACGTTTTAATTCATATTATTCAGGAAGTCACTACAGATGTGAAAGCCAACTCATTTGAGATATGGGCTTGAGTACATTTATGTTTTTCTGTGTGTTGCTATTTTGAAATTTTGAGTGACTATATATATATGCACGTTGGTTAGCCTTATAACTTGCAGAGCTAGAGCACCATTTTCATTAACAAACAGACAGGAAGAAGAGCAGCAGCACACAAATGTAAAAGATACCTCCTTTTCATCTTGGGTGAATACTTAGTTTCTTTTTTCTCTGTATTGTTCTCTCTCCTATGGCACTGGTGGATTTGGTCCCTATTTCTTATATCTCTTAAACAACAGACACATAGTGAAGTATAAAATCACTGTCAACCTGGACAGAAACTTGCCATCTTCAAGTGATGTGGTGTGCCCTTGCTATAAAGGAACAGTTAACTATTATACCTGTTTCCCTTAGTAAACTGCTTCCTGGAATTATTGCTTTTTCTTTACGGTCTCCCTGTTTTTATGATCTGATATCCTATTCTTTATACTCTTACTTCATCTGGTTCCTTGATGTTAATTTTTATGTAACCACTATTATTAAGGACTACAAACTACTTTTCTCTCCAATACTAGATCTGTTCTGAAATGAGAATTCAGGAATTCTTGACAGCTTGGAATATTAAGTAAAAGGAATAGGGTTATGGAGCATGTTTTAAAAACCAGGTTTGTTAAAAGGAAGGGAGAACTTTTTTTAGAAGGAAGATTAAAAGTTATCACTGATTAATTTATGAGGCAAAGTACCATAAGTTACAAAGTTGTCATACTTATGAAATTAGTGTTTGTTTAAAACAACAAGCATTAGGCAAAATTCTTTTAAATGTGTATTTTGCAGGGTAGTTATCCTGGTAATATACGTATATTAAAATAATTCGGAGAGGATTAATTAGTCAGCGTAAATTGTGAGAGAATATTGTGATAGTGTTTACTTTTGAGCTGTTGAGCTGAAAACTTACTGTAATTCACTGAAGAGTGGTTTCTAAGGAGCTCTTTTTTTTTCTTTTTTATACTTTCAACAAACATGAAAAATGTCGCCTGCAGTGAAGTGTTAATTGCTATCACACTAGATAACATTGTTTGACTGTGGTCTCCTTTCTTTTGGAACATTTCTGTCTCAAGGCTTTCCTGTTTTGCCACTAATTTTATCATGAAAACTGGGTGATTGTAGCTTTCCTACAGTATTTTGATATATATCCAAGTTGTTTTCAGTTAATTGTCTTAGTGTTTGTCTACTGCAATTAGCAAAGTAAGATTATTTTTTCTGTTGTACAGATACCTCAAAATGAGTTTTCTGAGTTTTTATTTTTTTAGTTTATTTCATTAGGGGGCAGTAGAGCACTTTGCTTACCTAACCTTTTCTGGGATTCAGTGTTGTTTGAACTGACATTCAAAATAATTTGTGAAGTCAGTAGTTATGGGAAATGCTAAGTGTTCACATTTCTAATCTGTGTATAACAATAGAGTTCTCTTGTTTCTGTCAATAGAATTAATGCCTATTAATCAGATACGTATAGAACAAATAAATGAAATCATCATGATTCAGCTTTTTAAAAATTGTATATGATTATTTGCCAAAATGAAATTTATTAAAAAGCCTTCTATACTGTTGACATTTTTTTTTTGCATTCTGTTGCTTGTATTAATTTCTCTGTGAGAAAAGAGAATAAAATAATGCCCAAGATAATTTAATGACTTTTTAAAATTATAGTGTGACAAATTACAGGCTAATTATAGACAGTTGGAATTTTTTTTATTTATAGAGTAGCAATGTCATACGTAACAAATTTTGGTAATTTTTAACGATATCAACACTTTAACTTTAAATATCCCCCAAACACTAAAATCCTTAAATTTTGCTCTTAATCTTATTGCATTTTTCCCAATAAATTTGCTGTTGAAGACAATCATGTTTTGTTAATAAAAGGATTCTAAATTTTTTTGTACATCTTTTAAGAAAGAAGCCTTGTGTTTCATTCTTTTTGTTTTGTTTTGCAACAACTGGGGCAAAATCTCATTGACAAGAGAACTTTCATTTATCTTTTTTTTTTTTTGGTCACCGGTAAGGGGATCATAACCCTTGGCTTGGTGTCCTCCGCACCGCGCTCAGCCAGTGAGCACACCGGCCATCCCTATATAGGATCCGAACCCGCGGCCTCGGCGCTCCCAGCGCCACACTCTCCTGAGTGAGCAATGGGGTTGGCCCCATTTATCTTAATGTTAAATTGGATTATACTCAGGTTGCAGAAGTACTTTATGGACAGGTAATTATGATTTTGTGTGAATTTAGGACTTTTAATATCAGTTTTCTTAGAAGTCTTATTTCCAAAATATATGAAAAATTCTATATAGTGTGAGAAAAAGGAAAAAAAAAGCATTTTTTGGGCGGGTACTTATTCGGTACTAGACATGATATTACCTCCTTTAATATTTAAAACATGTCTTCCAGGTATGAGTTATTATTATTATTCTTATTTTATGGATAAGTGGAGAAATGGAGGCACAGAGATGTTAAATAATTTTTTTTTTTTTTTAAAGATGACTGGTAAGGGGATCTTAACCATTGACTTGGTGTTGTCAGTACCACGCTCACCCAGTGAGCAACCAGCCATCCCTATATGGGATCCGAACCCGTGGCCTTGGTGTTATCAGCACTGTACTCTCCTGAGTGAGCCATGGGCCGGCCCCAAGATGTTAAATAATTTTCCCAGGTTATACAACTAGTAAACATTAGAGTCAGACAATTTTATTTCAGAGTCCTATGCT